GGGGTGCCGCCCCGCCGGGGCCTGCCTGCTGCCCCGGCGGGGAGCCGGCGGCTTGCGCCGAAAGTACCGGAGAACCTGTGGAAAAGATACGGGATCTCAGAGCACCCGCAGCATACGTTTTTGATAGCTGGGTTTTTTATACCACCTACCGAAAAGAACTGTAACTGCATCTTTCGTTAGAAATTATTTTAGGATAGTAATTACCGAGGGACAGAATTCACTACCTAGGTGCGCTGAAGTCGTTCTTGGGTGTGGATACACATTCCTCAAGAACTATGGGAGAGTTCATATTTGTTTGCCTCTATCACGCTTATCTCCAATGACTTACGGAATTGGCAGCAGGGCAGAAGCCTCATATTCTTCTCCTCCTGCATGTGTGCAGCACACGTTAGTAGTACGTCATCTTGTAAGGTCTGAACGGAGTTTGCTGTTTTTTAGGTATTAGCAGTTGATAACTTCCAATAGCTAGGTTTTCAAATGGGGGGGAAAAAACCCGCAGGATTTTAACTGTCAAAGATTTAAGGAAGGTTTGCTTGTATTGGACATAGAATCACAGAATATCTCAAGTCGGAAGGGACCTATAAGGATCATTGAGTCCAACTCCTATGCTTTACTGTTGGTGTGGTCATACTCTAGGGTATGTGTAAATAGTGTAACATCAAGCTAAGGTGGTGGTTAATATCCTCTTACAGCAAGTTAAGTTGTTCTAGTAAGTCACGAGACTTTAGATCTCCCATTCTTCATACCTTGTGTTAGAGCGTATCTGTGAGAGAAGGTAGCAGACAAAGAAGTGTAAATGTAGACCCTGTTATAGCTCAGAATTAAATAGCTCCGAAGAACTACGTCTTTGGTAAAAGAAAAAAACCCAACTTTTTCTTCAGGCTTTCAAGTAACATTGCTACTTTTCCTTTTTGCTTTTTTTAAACAGAAGTGCAGTGCTGAAGAAATTTTTTTTTGTTCAGAAAATTAACATATTCCTGGTTTAGCAGATAAGAATTTACTAAACTGCTTGTTGATGTTCATTGATGCTCACAGAATTACAGAGCATGCGCTTACATCCCACACCATCATTCTAGCTTGACCCTGAGCCTGAGATTGCTGTTAGCTTTTTGTACAAAAATCAAAGTTTACAACTTTTAGAGACTATATTCAAATATTTTGTGGAGTAGTGTTTATACGTAGTAATAGTCATTTTATATGTTACCTAATGGCATTATTTAAAACATTAATATTTTGATAACTAAGCACAATGTTCTTGTCACAATAGACAATATTTTTAGACAACGGGATATAAAAAGCCAAATTAAGCTATCCTTTTTTATTTATTATCTGTCTGTGTCAAGTTTGGCAATAGACAAAAATTAAAACAAGGTTTACTTTATACTCCATGTAGTGATACAACAATTTGCTAGATCTC